ATACTACAGAAGAGCTCCCAAGGGCAGAGTCCACGTTCGATAGTGAGAAATGAAGGCGGTGGGAGGACACACTACACACACAATCATTACAGTAAAAGGCACTGTCCACAATCATCTTACATTTTTCAATTTAAAAATATGTCTTCTCCCTTTTCCTTTAGTGGAAACTTTCTTTTCAGCAGCTGGAGCAGATTTGTATTTAGTGTTTCTGAGCCGAGCAGACCTCCTGTGAATTTCCTGCTTACTCTGTTACATAAACAATTAAAGAAAAAGAGAAAGAAATAAAAACTGTAGAAAGGTTGCTGTCCCAACACAACCATCTTACAGGGATCCCAGAGTATGCACTTATAGGGTCATTTAATGGAATACTTACGCTGTCATTTAAAAGAATGACATAATAATCTTACTTAGTAACATGATACATAACGAAAATAACCTTTATTAACAGAGGAAGAGGTCCAGGCCCTACATTTGCCACAAGACCCTGTTTACGACTGTGTACACGGGTGTCTCTTCAGATGTCTGTTTGCTACTCCCCAAAATATCATCACAACGGAGCAATTTCTGAAGGGCTTTTAATTTTCTTGCTTCTTTATGCCTTGAATTTCTCACAATAGGAAGACGTGCTTAGGAATGGGACAAACCAGTGAAGACTTCATCAGGAGGTGGGGAGGGGCGTCCCGGCCCGGTGAAGGCAGGGCGATCCGGGAAGGCCCGCGCCCGCCCTCTCCCCGCCGGCCCGGCCTCCGCCCGCCTCGCGCCCGGACAGCCTCCGTCGGCGGGCGGGGCCGAAGGAGCTCACCTGCTTGCCGCCCCCGCCCCCGTTGCTCTGCGGAGGGGCGGCCGAGGTGGTGGCGAAGGTCGCCGCGCCGAAGCCGCCGCCACCGCCGCCGCTGCCCCCCGTCCCGCCGGCCGCCCCCGAGCCGGCGCCCCCGCCGCCCGCGCCGCCCCGGCCCGTGCAGTGGTGGCACAGGATCTCCCCCTGCGGGCCCTTCTTCCACATGGAGGACGACGTGGTCTTGCAGACGCTGCAGGTGGGCTTCAGGCCCAGGGGCATGGTGGCCGGCTCGGGCGGCCCCCGCGGGCGCAGAGACACGGGAATGGCGGCCGCTGGCCCGGCCGCCCGCTGGTCGGCCCGCCACTCCCGGCGACAGGAAGAGCGGCTAGGGTGCAGAGGGGTGAGCGCAGGGACCGGGCAGTGGCCGCTGCCCCCTGGAGGCGGGAAGCGAGTCCGCCCGCTCCACGCCCAGCCCCAGCCCCGGCGCCAGGAGGCTCGAGGCGCCGGGAGGCGGGGGCGAGGCGGGGCGGGGCGGGGCCTACGGGGAGCGCCCGACCCCGGCCGCGGAGGCTTCCGGCGATGGGCGGGGCCACACGCGTGCTGCCCGACCACCTGACCGGAAGGGCAGCACCGGGCGTCTCTAGGCGCTTGCTGCAGTTCCGCTAGCTGTCGCTTGGGGGAGTGGTTGTCAAATTTTTGGTGTCAGGACTAGCATTGCCAGGTAAAATATAGGATGCCAGATTAAAAGTGTATTTCATATAAACATGGGATAATTTTTTACCATGAGTGTGACCCATGGAATAATCGTTGTTTGTCAGAAATGCATATTTAACTGGGAATCCTCTATTTTTAATTACTAAATCTGGCATTTCTACTCAAGACCCCTTACATTCCTAAAAATAGTAATTTGGACACTCTCCCTGCAAATACTTTAGTTTGTGTGGATTATACTCATGAACCTGTATGTATTGGAAGTAAAAATTGAGACATTTTACAGCCTAAAATGCCAAGTGCACACTCCTTAATTGTTGGGTGGTGTCATCATATGTAGTGTGGCCTCTGAACTGTGTACCAGTGAGAAAATGAGAGTGGAAAAGGGAAATAACTGGCTTAGCATTGTTAGGAAACAATTTTGACACTGAGGACTCCCTGAAAGTTTCTGGGGACCCAGCAGTTCAAAACAACTGGCCTAGGCCACATATAAGAAACCAGATAGCCTCTATTAATGTCACCAGTCAGTATGGGTCTCGCCAGAAAAACAAAGCTGTCATTCTCAGCTTCACTTGGTGGAGTAGTGGTTGCAAACCCCTCTTCGTGACCCTGAGTTTCCTAGACTTGGCATCCTAGGAGATCTTGATGAATATGTTGGGGCTTGTGGGAGAAACATGTATTAAATGTCTATATTGCAACGAAATCTCAGTGCTTATGACAACCCTGGAAGGAGCAGTTATCCCATTTTACTGTTAATTGACCATGATCGGAGGTCCTGCGATTTGGACTGGCCGCCATCACAGCTTCTGCTCTTGGCACCACTTCCAGGCAGAACTTCGGAACAGCTCCCTGGGTCCGTGGCTCAGTCAACCTGGCTCTAAGTCTAGGTTTCCTCAACAGTAAAACAAAATAACTTCCCAGGACTGTTATGGGGATTAAGACCAACTATAAAAGTGGTTGAAGAGAATAGGTAAAGAGTGTTGTCTCATTTTGGAACAATGCTGGAGGTGCTGAGAGCATGCTACCCCGAAATATACAACTTAAGCATATTATTTTGAGCTGAAGGAAATGAAGCAACAACAGAAAGGCTCCCTGACACCCTTTCTGCCTGAAGCAGGACATAAAACTTCCCTTGTGAAAGGTGCCCTCTCTTCACAAGGAAGAGGAGAATATTCTTGTCAGAGAGAGAGTTGATGCTGAGATGAATCTACAAACAAAACCTTACTAAATTTTATAACCCTTATTTTCCATTAGTTTCCACCATATATTTCCTAGTCACTTTCCCACAATTTACCAGCCTTAGCCTAAGTCCCTTCCTCTTGTCACATCCCTACAATTTATATTCTTTGTTTAAAGGGGTATATACCCTTTTGGCCTAATAGCAGCTATCCGTTTTTATTTTTCTTGTAAAGGCTCCCATGCATGTAAAAATACTAAATGCAACTTGTATGCTCTCTTCTGTTAATCTTTTTCTGTTATTAATAATTTAATTCTCAGGCCCAGCCACACACTCTAAAGGGACAGAAGGAAATTTTTCTTCTCCTACAATGCACTGTGAGGAAATCTAGGTACTACATTCCATGCTCCTTAATGTATCTGTTTGGTAATGGTATACCTCCCTTTGTACCTCATCTCCAAGTTACTGCCTTTCATTCACTGAAAACTTTGGTCCCTGGCTCAACAGCTTCCTCTCTATCACAGGACACCCTTTGGGGTCAGGTGAATGTCCATGAGTACAGTCATCCCTCAGTATCTGTGAGGGATTGATTCTAGGACCCCTGAGGATACCAAAATCCACAGACACTCAAGTCCCTTATATAAAATGATGTAGTATTTGCATGTAACCTATGCACATCCTGTATACTTTAAATCATATCTAGAGTACTTATCATACCTAATACAATGTAAATGCTATGTAAATAGTTGATATACTGTATTGTCTTTTCATCTGTATTATTTTTATTATTGTATTGTTATTTTTATTTCCTTGAATATTTTCTATCTGTGGTTGGTCAAATCCACAGATACCGCAGGACGATTATATGACGACCCAACACCCAGCTTCTCCGTGCCTACTCATGCCAGCCATCTCTGCCTCCTGTCCTCGTCAGCTCCCCAGCCCCTGGCCACGCCCTTTAACCTTCTGAGATCATCAGGAAGATTTACACTTTTTCCTTGTAAATTTTTTTATAATGTTTTAAAGTGAAGTATAATAGACATACTGTAGAGTATCCAACTCCTGTGTACAGCTTAATTAAGCTCATTTAATCCTCACATCAACTCCGTGGGGCATGTTCTCTCATCCTCATTTGACAGGTAAGTAAAGGGAGACTCAGTGGCAGTGTCCCCTAAGGTATCTAGGATAAGGGTGTGCATGGTCAAGGAACCCCACTCTGCCCATACTCATCAAGACACAAATATTGTGAAGGATTAAATGAGTTAGTATGTGTGAAGTTGCACACAGCTCTGACATCTAGTTAGTGCCTGATTCATGTCAACTATGAGGTTATAACTAAGAAGAAGGAGGGGGAAGAAGCATTTGTCCTGCCCAGATCGTGATCAAGTCATTAGTTAGACCCTTGGTGTGTAATCATGTAAATCATGTTAATTATATTTTGGAAAGACTACAATTAGTTCGAGTTGCCTATTAACATCAACAAACTAGAGAGAGATGGTAGGGACTGGACAGAGAGAGAATGAGGGAGACCTATGAGACTGCAAGGAAGTTCAAGGGAAGAGAGCCACGGCAGGCGTTCTTACTGATCTTTTCCTGTTTTGTCCTCAGGAGGGTCAGCATGGCATCTCTGCCGTCCGCTGCAGACATACCTTGTATGTTACAACCAGTGGACCTACTTTCTGTGTTGGGCGTGTGCCCTGCATTTCCCACCCTGGTGCCTCTGCTCTGCGTGTTCCTTCTCCCCGGAATGTGCTTCCTCCCACCTCTTCACACCCAACCCTAACCACCTTTAGAGAGTCATCCCAGACCCACGCCAGAAGTTGCATTCTCCTTCCTCCAACTCCTTAACTCTGAACAACTGTTCTTCCTTTGGCTCCTCCCTCCTCCTGCCTTAGGTATTCGCTGTTGTGTCTCCTCCCATCTACTGAGTATCTTGAGAAAAAGGGAAGAAGTATGTCTTTTTCCTCTTCGTGTTTCTTCTAGTTCCCCACTCCTTACCCAAAGTAGACACACTAATTTGCAGTTTAGTGATTGGATTTACACATCAGTTAACCTTTTCTCAGCCGTATCTCCACTTAGGACAAGTTTCTGCTCCCACTGCCCTCTCTGACTAGGAACCCCAGGGAAGAGGGGCTCATTGTATCTTTCCCCCACCAAGTCATCAGACTTCTCTCACCGAGCTGCCTGAATCAGGCCCCTCCACGGCTCCTCAATGGCCTGCAGCCTGCAAGCAGCTGTCCCATGCATGGGGGACACCAGCATCATCATTATTGATCAGAAAAACCAACGCCCACTTGATCACAGATGAGTCTTACTTATTTGAAAAAATCATGTGGGATATCTGGTGGGCTCCCCCGGTGGAGTTTCATAAACATCTTCCTTCTGCTTGGAAGAAAGTGATGACATGGTTAGGGACGCCACGTCCTCCGGGATCCTCTTGCTCCCTGATGTGGAATCAGTAAGGAGATTTGGCATAGGCCTCACTGAGATTCAGCACAGTGTGTATTGGCACGGCCGTTAGGCCAGAATGAGGCTGGGCACATCGGGCTTGACTTAGAGACCCTCTCCTAGGTTCCAAGTGGGGTCCCCAGCACACCTGTACTCCAACTGCCACTTCCCCAACTGTCGCTAGAACCGTGCCTCAGCCCCAGCGCCTGCTGTGCTTTGGGTGACCACGGGCTGAGGACCAGGTGAAAGCCTCCCTTTGAGGTTCAGGCGCCAGCCAGATGTAGTTTCCTGAGGAAAACCCAGTTGCCTTTGGTTTTGGTGTTTGTTTCTGAGTGCTTTGAAAGTCTGGCTGCCTCTCCTTCTGATTTGCAGGACACTAGTCAGGAAACCAACTTGGTTGTTTGAACAGCTTTTAAATGCTTCTCAGCTTCGTGTGAAGACTGCTGTCCTCAGAGGAGCTCCAGACTTTACCAAAAAGAGAAATATTTTTTCCTCTTCAAAATGTAAGTATCTTTTTGTTAGTATATAAGTAATAAATGTTCACTGTAAATATTCATGCAATCCAGAGGTTATTGCCCAACTGGGCCGTGTTACAGATAATCATATTAACAGTTTGTAGTATCTTTCCAGTCCCAGGAGAGTGTGTGTGTGTGTGTGTGTGTGTGTGTGTGTGTGTGTGTGTGTGTAAAACATGAATGAGGTCTTACTAAATATTATCCTCTAATCTTACTTTTAATTTTTCTTACATCTTATTTTATTTCATTTGAGACAGAGTCTCACTCTGTTGCCCCAGCTAGAGTGCCGTGGCATCGGTCTAGCTCTCAGCAACCTCAAACTCCTGGGCTCAAGTGATCCTTCTGCCTCTTTTTTTTTTTTAGCTGGGACTACAGGCATGTGCCACCACGTCCGGCTAATTTTTTCTATATATTTTTAGTTGGCCAATTAATTTGTTTCCATTTTTAGTAGAGATGGGGTCTCTTGCTCAGGCTGGTTTTGAACTCCTGACCTTGAGCGATCCGCCCACCTCAGCCTCCCAGAGTGCTAGGATTATAGGTGTGAGCCACCATGCCCAGCCTAATCTTACTTTTTAAATTCAAAACTGTGTAATAGTGAATTTTCCACATCAATCCATATCTATCTGCCTTTACCTGTGCCAAAATTAATCATTCTGCTGCTGATGGATATTTAGACTGTTTTAAATGTTTCCAGTTACAAACAATGAATGATGCAATGAACTTCCTTATACATGTATCTCTGCCTATTTGTCTGAGTATGTTCAGGGGGGAAATTCCTAAAAATATAACTGTTGGGTAATACACATTTTGAATTCTGACAGATGCTGCTAAATTGTCCCCTTGCCACAGTTTTATGCCCCAGAGGATCTATCCCAGGGCTGATTTACCCGCCAGTCACAGTAGCACAGGGCCCCTGAGAGTTGTAAGGGGCCATAAAAATATTTTTTTAAAAAATCAGGGGGGCGACTTCCGGGGCCCCCGCTCTTGGGGCCCCAGAACCTCGTCCACAAAAAAAATAAAATAAAATAAAAAAATAAAAAATCAGGAGAAAAGTTGAATATAAGAATCTAGCCTGGATTATACTCATCTTTATGCCAATGCAGTCAAAAATATAATTTTTAATATTTTTTGTGGAAGAGGAGACCATGAGAACAAACGTGTGCAGGTCCCATGCAAGTCATATGTGGCCCTGGAGCATCTATTTCTTCATACTCTTGCGTAGTATTTTCTATAACTCTGAGAATTAGTTTTTTAAATCTTTGCCAGTCTTTTGTGCAAAAAATGCCTTTTCACTATTGTTTTTACTTGCAGTTCTTTGGTTATTTGTGAGTTATCGTCTCCTAAGTGTATTGACAATTTAAATTTCTTTTATGAACTGCCTATCTATGTTATCATCCTTTTATTGAGTTGCCTATCTTTTCCTTGGTAAAGTTGTTTTTACAGTATGGTAACCATTGTACATTGTATAGTAACCATTGTAAATCTGAAAATAAATTTCAGATTCATTGGTATTCTTTGTAATGGCATCTAAAGGGTTTCTGTACTCCAAATCTGCCAGACTTTTATGCTGTCATTCTTACAAATGCTTACACAAACATTCTTTATATTTTCTTGTGGGATATCTATGGTTATTATCATTTATGAAAATATCTTTAGTTCATCTTACGTTTTTGTGTAAGATATGAAATAATTATTAAACTCCATTTAGTTTTCCAAGTACATAGCTAATTGTTCCAACACTGGGATGAAATTTACAATTCCACCTTTATCAAATATTAAATTCTCATATATACATCAGTCTGTTTATTGAATCTCTTCCATCCCATTGATCTGTTTATCTGTTGCCACTCTATTACCACATTTTTAATTATATAGCTCTGTGACATTTTGATTTCTGATAAAGTACATCACCACCCCCTCTCCTATAATCCTTCTCTTTCAAATTTTTTCTTGATTGTTCTCACACATTTACTCTTTATGATGAATTGTAGAGCTACATTTTCAATTCATCCAAACCGATGCGTTTTATAAAATTTAGAGGTTAATTTGAGGATAAGCAGCATCTTCACCACACTGCACTTGCTTCTCCAAGAGGCTGGTGTTTGTTCAGACCTTCTATTCATCCGTTTCCACTTGGCCTTGGGCTCATCCGAGGCTTTGCCATCTCTGCAGTCTCCTCACACCCCCACATGGCTCTCTCTGTGCGACAGGTGGCCAGCAGCAGGGGCTTGCCTCCGCCTTCTTGTTCCCCAGGAGGTTCATGGGGTGCTTTTGCTTTGCCATTTTGGATCCATTTAGTAGTGGTTTTCTTGGAACTGTGTTCAGGCTGCAAGGTAGTGTGGCAAAACCCACCATCATCTCTTACTTGGATTTCTGGTCTCTTTCCTTCCACTTTGGCTTACCCTGGCCCATTCTCCTCCATTACTGTACCTGGAGTAATCTTTCTAGTCAGACCCCCGTGGTCCCCTGCTAGAAAACTTTCAGTGATTCCCCACTGTATGAATTTCCTACTGCTGTTGTTACAAGTGACCACAGACTTAATGCCTTAAAACAACACACATTTATTATCTTACAGTTCTGGAGGTCAGAAGTCTAAAATCAGTTTTACTGGTTTAAAATCAAAGTTTCAGTAGGGTTGCATTCTTTCAGTGGGTTTTGGGAAAAAATTTATTTCCTTGCCTTTTCTGCCTGCGTTCCTTGGCTCATGGCCCCTTCCTCCATCTTCAAAGACAGCAATGGTGTTACTCAGACCTCTGCTTCCATTGTCACGTCTCCTTCTCTCACTCTGTCCCTCCTGCCTCCCTCTTTTAAGTATGATCATAAGAACTCCTGTGACTGATTGATTGGGACCACCCAGATAATCCAGGATCATCTCCCCATCTCAAAGTCCCTAACTTAGTCACACCCACACTGTACCTTTTGACATGCAAAGTAACATATTCACAGGTTCCCAGGATGAGGATGTGGACATCATTGGGGGACAGTTATTCTGCCTTCCATACCTGTGGCCTTCAGGATAACATCCAGACCCCTTCACTTGGCTTGCCAGCTTCCCAGTGATGCATCCCCACCACCTCTCTGTCTAACCTCATCCCACTCTCCCCTTCAGACTCCCTGCTCCAACTATAGGAACTTCTTTCAGTTTCTAGAATCTGCCCTTTCTGCTTCCCCCCAGCCTGATCCAGGCTGGTTCTTCTGTCTGGGAAAACTCCCCCACCTCTTCACTAACTTCTGCTCAACTTCCACCTGTGGCTTAAACCTCACTTTCTCTGGGAGCTTTTGACAACCTCTTCTGCTCCCTGCATGTTCCCCCAGACTTTATTAAGGACTCTGATGTCCTCCTCCAATGTTCCTAGCTTGCTTATATTGGCTTCTTCAAACAAGTATTGCTTGTTTGAAGATCTTGTCTTCCAAAATGTAAACTCTTTGAGGGCTGAGACAAGGGCAGCTCCATGCTTAGAGCTCATTAACTCCTTGCTGAATGAATTTATAAAAATATCAATTTTATAATAGTATGCAAATTATTTTACTCTATCGGCCTCACCGTAAAAGTATTTGTTCATCATTCATTTAACAAATGTTTATTAGGCACTGACTTGGTAAGTACTGAGGCAAGGCAGTTAAAATAAAGAAAAAAATCTTCTTAATGTTATGAGGATGCTAAGGTTGTAGAGGTGTGATCATAAGGGCATGAATAACAATCCTCTCCTTCCAGGACAATGGACTTGGAGGTCAGTGAACCAATAGACTTTAGTTCTGGAGATCATCAACACCTGGTTCGGAAAACCGCAGATGTAAGCACCCATCCTAAATCTGGTCAGCCCCACACAACATCTGCGCCTGGGCCACAAGAAACTCGAAAAGATCCATACTTAAAGAGTCCTGAGAAATGGAATACCTATGTGGTACAAATTACAAATGACAGCACCCCAGAAGAAAGCCATACTAATTCATCATCCTCTCCATTCTCAGATGCAGCTGTCCGCAGAGGTGAGAATAAACGAATTACCTTTTAATAAGAGAAAAGCAAATGTTCTTTTAAAATGTGTCCACAGGGTGGATTGTCAGAGAGATTGAATTTTGTTTTTAGTTTTTCCTATTCATGCTTTGTCATGAAACGCGATGTAGGGCTGCTATAATAGACTACCCCCCAAGTTGTCCAGGGCATTCAGAAATTCATAATAAACATATGGTGAACAACTTTTGTTTTTTTTTTTTAAGGAGATATGAATTTGTTACTGGTGATTGTAAATATGTTCCTCCCTACCACGATATTGGCTTAAGTTTTAAAAAATATTAATTCTAATTCAATATCCCAGATGTTAATGCTGTATAAGTCAGGAAATATATTCAGCAATGGGTAATAGAAATCTAGAAAACTGCAGCTTAAATAAATGAGAAGTGTTTGGTTTTTTTTTTTTCCCCTTTCTCTGTCTCTCATGAAAGATGAATTTTGAAGGAAGGCAGTTCAAGGCTAATCCTGCAGGTCCTGGGTGTACACTTTCCCACCCGTAAGCCTTCTTAGGGCCTGGACAACTTGCAGGTGGCCTGTGAGCTTTGAGTCCTGTTGCTAGCTCCCTGTGGCCCTCCTATTCCATCCTCTGGCTGGAAAGATGCCTTTGGTGCTCTAGCCTTTGAGGTAGGAAAAGGAAAATGCAGATAGCCAAAGGCAAAGAAGTGCCAAGGGAGGGCTGCAGCTCTGACAATGCCAAGGGGGTGCCCTTCATGGACAGGTGCCCTGAGAGCCAGCCAAATCAGACTTCTTTTCAGGAGCATTCCCAGAAACCACACCCAAGGGTTTTGAATGACATGTCACTGACCTTATCTGTATCACATGGCCACCTCTGCCTATAGTTTTTCAGATGGGCTCATTGCCACCCTTGCAAGATCTAGGTTAGATCATAAGAAAGTCAGGGAGAATGGATGTCACTTAGCAATTAGCCACCTCTGACACAGACACCAGGTCTCCACAGGGTGTTGTGCAAGAGGAATATTATTATACTTAGTCCTTATGACAACTCTGTAAATGAAGTTGTTGTATTGCCATTTTACAGATGAGGAAATGAAGCTTAGGGAGGTATAATTGAAAAATGTGTAAAGCCTCCTCACCAATGTTGAAGTTAGTTATTTGTTTGTTTGTTTATTTGTTTGTTTGTTTTTGAGACAAAGTCTCGCTCTTTTGCCCCAGCTAGAGGACTGTGGTGTCAGCCTACCTCACAGTAACCTCAAACTCCTGGGCTCAAGCAATCCTCCTGCCTCAGCTTCCTGAGTAGGTGGGATTGCAGGCATGTGCCACCACACCCAGCTAGTTTTGTTTGTTTGTTTGTTTCTATTTTTAGTTGCCCAGCCAACTATTTCTATTTTTAGTAGAGATGGGGTCTCACTCTTGCTCAGGCTAGTCTCGAACTCCTGACCTGAAGCTATCCTCCCACCTTGGCCTAGGTGGGAGGATGCCCGAGTGCTAGGATTACAGGCGTGAGCCACCATGCCCAGCCTAGAGTTAGTTATTTGTATCTGCCTCTCTTAGAGGACAGAGGCTGGGCCATTCCCCACTTAAAAAACATTTTTTATAGTATGTAAGAAGATGAAAAGTGCTGTGGGAAAAAGAGAAAAAGTACAGCAAGATAATGGATTATGGGGGTTATAATTTCTTAAAGTGGTTTTATGGAGATATAATTTACAAATCATAAAATTCATCCCTTTAAGTGTACAATTCAGTGGTATTTAGTGTATTTACAGAGTTGTCAATCATTATCACAATCAACTTTAGAACATTTTTATCACCTCAAAAAGAAACCCATACCTATTAACAGTTACTCCCATCCTCCCTCATCCTCACCTCCTGCCATCTACTAATCTACTTTCAGAAGTCTCTATGGATCTATTTATTATGAACATTTCCTATAAATGGAACCATACAACATGTGGTCTTTTATGATTTCCTTCCTTCACTTAGCATAATGTTTTCAAGATTCAGCCATGCTGTAGCACGTGTCAGCACTTCATTCCTTTTTATGCCCATATGGCATGCCATTGCGTGGATATAACTAACACATTTTGTTGATCCATTTATCAGCTGACAGACATTTGAATTCTTTCCACTTTTAGGTTGTGAATGATGCTGCGATCAACATTCATATTCAAGTTTTTGTGTAGACATATGTTTTCCTTTCTCTTGACACCTAGGAATTGGTGAAACATATGATAACTCTTTGTTTCACATTTTGAGGAACTACCAAACTTTTCCAAAGTAGCTGCACCATTTTACATTCCAGTCAGCAATGTATGAGAGTTCCTGTTTCTCCACAGCTTTGTCAACACTTACTATTCTCTATCTTTTTTTATTATAGCCATTCTAGTGTGTAAAGTGGTATCTGATTGTGGTTTTGGTTTGCATTTCCATGACGACTAACGATGTTGAGCATGTTTTCATATGCTCATTGGCCATTTACATGTCTTTTTTCGGAGGAATGTGTGTTCAAAATCTTTGCCCACTTTTTAAAAAAAAACAACCATTTTATTATCTCTCATGATTCTGTGGATTGACTGGGCTTAGTTGGGCAATTTTTGTGCTGGCCTTGATTGGAAGCTCTCACCAGTTATAATGAGGCTGCTACAGCCATTATGATTCCAGGACATGACTGGCAATTGTTGGTTGTTGGTTCTCTTCTTGTGGCTTGAGCTTTTCACTCCATGATGGCTGGGTTCCAGGACAAGTGTGCCAGGTGGATAAGCCCCAAAGCACAAGCAGTTTATTAGGCCTCTGCTTGCATCACCCTTGCAAATGTCCCGTTGGCCAAAGCATGTCATGTGGTCGAGCACAGGGGCAATGTGAGAAGGCACTATACAAACTTTGCTCATTTTTAATTCTGTTATTTGTCTTCTTCTTCTTCTTTTCTTTTCTTTTTTTTTTTTTTTTGAGACAGAGACTCACTCTGTTGCCCAGGCTAGAATGCTGTGGTGGTCAGCCTAGCTCACAGCAATCTCAAACTTCTGGGCTCAAGCAATTCTACTGCCTCAGCCTCCTGAGTAGCTAGAACTACAGGCACGCACCACCATGCCTGGCTAATTTTTTCTATATATTTTTAGTTGTCCAGCTAATTTCTTTCTATTTTTTTCGTAATGATGGGGTCTCGCTCTTGCTCAAGCTGGTCTCAAACTCCTGAGCTCAAACGATCCGCCCGCCTCAACCTCCCAAAGTGCTAGAATTATAGGCATGAGCCACCACGCTTGACCTTGTTATTTGTCTTCTAGTTGTTGAGTTGTAAGAGTTCTTTATGTATTCTGGACACTAGTCACTTATTGGAAAGTCCCTTATTGAAAACCCTTTGTAGGTTTGCTTTCACTTTATTGATGGTGTCATTTGAAGCACAAAGCCTTTACTTTTGATGAAATCTAATTTATCTGTTTTTAGTTTCATTTCTTGTGCTTCAGTGTCATATCTAAGAAATCATGGCCTAATTGATGCTCATGAAGACCTACACCTGTGCTTTCTTCCAGTTTTGTCTTGTATATTTATGACCATGATCCATTTTTAATTAATTTTGTGTACAGCATGAGGAAATGATGCAAATTCATCCTTTTGTGTGTGTACCTACAGTCATCCCAGCATCATTTGTTGAAAAGACTATTCTTTCCTCATGGAATTGTTCTGGCACATTTGTTACAAATCAATTAGCCATAAATATAAGGGTTTATTTCTGGGCTCAACTCTATTCCATTGATCTATATGTCTATTCTTATGAGGCCGAGCCTCATTTAATGTTTATTCCCTTATGGGCCTTGATACATAGTAGATGCCAAATTAATGTTAGCTAAATGAATATTTTAGTGTAGGTAACACATATTTTGGAACATATGTTCTGATACGCTGATGAAGACAGCTCAGTCCCATTCCTTTGTTGTCATACTTCCCATGCACAGAAACTGCCCAGCAAAACAACGGAATTGATGATCCTATAAATTATCTTTAAGGGGCATTATTTCATTTTTTTTCCCTTTTAAATTGGAATAAAGCCACACACAAAAAAGAAAATAGTCATTGCCAGCGACATATTCAGAGGGCCCTGGGAAAACCTGTGCAGTAGGAAATAGGCAAAAAGATATGCGGTGGCTTAGCGTGAACTGTGCTTTGCCGTGTCTTTCATTTGGAACTCTTTGGTCTTGCTATTTCGCCAGGTTGTCTGGTTTCTGCATCAGTAAGTAGAAGGCAAGAGAGTTGCTACGGGCAGGCAGGCTGGAGAGAAAAGTGGCGGGAAAAGCTCTGTCGACCCTCCGCAGCCTAAGTCCCTCTCCACCTGCCGTCCTCAAGGCGTCGCTGTCCGCATTGCGTGCGGGGGGGGAATTGTCGCCGGAGCCCTGGTGCTGTGCCTGCGATAGCCTGAGACTTTGCGGTCATTTTTGAACCTAAGGAGGATGGGGTGCGCACAATAAGAAATGCAATCCTTCAGCTTGTCTTGAAAATTTTGGAGCTTCCATAGGCAAACCCTCAGATCCAATAAAACACCTCTGACAATCTGGATCGAGTATTCTCTAAAAGCTCTGCAGAGCTGTATTTTTGTTGTTATTCCATTTGCTGACTAGAAACTGGCACTGCCCTTCCCATCCTCAAAAAATCAGAGGAAAAATTCCTTTCATTAAGTATCAAAAGTAGGTAATTGCATTTATATTTTTGAATACTGTGTCATAAAAATGACGTTTGTGTTTCCTCAGATTTCATTATAAAAGTGTTCCTCATCCTGTCAGTTCAGTTGTTGATCACCGCGTCAATAATTAGCACGTTTGTTTTTTGGTAAGTCTTTACTACCGATGTCAAATTAAATGTTAAGTTGTTCACATTAATTTTTATTGAATCAGCTTGATTTAATTTTGATCACTTAAACATAATGTATCTCTTTTTTCTTAATCATTCATAAGAGATAATATTTCTATAGATTTGTTTTTCTGAGGCATTTCCTAGACCAAGGTGATGGTAGATTTCTAGGATTTTACTTTAACTTCCTAAGCCAAGAACTTTTTCTTACTCTTATTTTGGGCACTATTTTGTTTCTGTCTTTTTTTATTTTTTTGAGACAAAGTCTCTGTTACCCAGGCTAGAGTGCAGTGGCATGATCATGGCTCACGGCAACCTCAAACTCCTGGGCTCAAGTGATTCTTCTGCCTCAACCTGCAGAGTGGCTGGGACTACAGGCATGGGCTACGAGGCCTGGCTGATTTTTCTAGTTTTAGTAGAGACAGGATCTCACTCTTGCTAAGGCTGGTCTCCAACTCCTGAGCTCAAGCAACCCACCTGCCCGAAACTCCCAGAGTGCTAGGATTACAGGCATGAACCACTGCACCCAGCCGGCACTATTTTGTTTTCTTTTTTTTTTAATTGGAGAAAAGGCATACACATTTATTTAATGTGTATACAAGGGGAGAATCACAGAGTGATTACTCACTATTTAAAAAAAAATTTCTCTAAGCTATTTCCACAGATAGAACTGTATAAAGGAAAAAAGTTGAGGTTATGGAGACCGTGGAGGCTAGAACACTGTTAAATTCAGGTATTATTGGAGGGACTGTGATCCACTACTGCTTATATTCATCTGATGAAAATCTGTAACTATGAAACACATATATGAGAAGTTGATTTCTTTGGCTTTGAGCACATATCAATCTCAGTATTTTTAAAAATAAAAACCTTTACCAGGACATTTACATGGATCCAAATTTGACTTATTATTTATTTATATATATTTTTGAGATCAAGTCTCATTCCGTTGCCTGGGCTAGAGTGCCGTGGCGTCAGCCTAGCTCACAGCAACCTCCAACTAATGGACTCCAGCAATCCTCCTGCCTCAGCCTTCTGGGTAGCTGGGACAACAGCTGCTCGCCACCACGCCTGGCTGATTTTTTGTTTCTATTTTTAGTTGCCCAGCTAATTTCTTCTATTTTTAATGGAGACGGGGTCTTGCTCTTGTTTAGGCTGGTCTCAAAGTCTTCACCTCAAATGATCCTCCCGCCTCAGCCTCCCAGAATGCTAGGATTATAGGTGTGAGCCACCTCGCCCTGCCTCACTTATTATTTAATATTTATTATGAATATATCTATTTTAAGAAAAAGAATGTTTCACTGTTTCATTCCCCATTTGTCATTATAATCAGCTAGGGTTTCCCCCTTTCCTCCCCTGATATTGCTTTACTTCTACTTAAATATCACATTAGTTATCAAAATATACTATTTACTATGTAAACGTATGTTAATTTTTTTTTTAACCAGGGAGGCTTTAAGATCGTGGGTGAGAGCAAACCCCTGGTTCACCTATATAACCTTGTAAGTATCATTGGATTAAATAAAATGTGGTTTTTCTACTGGATATTTATTGCCTGAGATTGTTTTACTAGAAAAAATGAGGTAAAGGTATAAAATTCCTGACATGATATAATGATAAGAATGGAAAACAAACAAATTGGTGGTTGCCAGGAGTCACGGTTGAGTATGTTAGTGAGGGTGGTTACTATTGTCAACCTAATGACAGAAAGAGAGGCTCCCCACAAAAAACAGTGCATTTGGGAGTGGCAGAGGGATTGCAATCTGGGATACAAAAGCCATGAAGGATCATAGGTGTATCTGGAGAGGCTGGGGTAAGGGTAAACCTTTTAAAGACAAGGAGAAGAGGTTCACGTAAGCTATTTTGAAATGAAAATCACAGGTCACAGGGGCTTGTTGCAGGAGCTGGTGCTAACTCATGGGTGGAGGCAGCCCTCACGAAGCAAGTGCTCTTGTGAGAGCAACTTAGCGGGAATACTATATTTGTGAGGCATTTATTGTGTTAAGTCCTTTATAGACATGTGTGCAGGATGTTTAGGCTGTGTAGGAATTTCTTGTGGGTTTTTGAAAGGTCTTTGTGGGCGTTCTTATCTTAGACATACGAGTGTGAGATCCTCTCCATCATGACCCCCCAGCTCCACTTTGGGTCTGACATAAGTGACTCAATCTTGGCCGTGGTGACTTCCACACTATAACTGGGTAGGGTAGCACAAGGGAGGTCTTTTTTGATGTTTCCTTGATAGAATAGTTCTGAATCTTGACTGTGGTGGTGGTTACGTATATCCACACAAATGTTAGTTTCATAGTTCTGTGACATAGAACAATACATACACACTGTACCAATGTCAAATTACTGGTTTTGGTATTGTACTATAAATGTATAAGATGTAACCATTGGGGTTAAATGAAGGTTTACAGGACCTCTCTATCCATTTGCAACTTCCTGTAAATCTATAATTATTTCAAAATAAAAAATTGTAAATGCCCCGTAAACTATCTGTGGATGGCAATGAGAAAAGTTAATTTTAAAAGCTAAAAAAAAGAGGTAAAGCTAAGAATGAAAATGTTTGTTTACTTTATAATACTTATTATGAGATGATATCATATAATGATACATATCTGTATCTATATCTGTTTATCTCAGTATAATATATCATATGATATAATCACTGGAATCAAATAACACATGGCTTTAAATTATTCTGCAGCCCTGCGTTTTTTGTTGTACTTATTGTACTCGCTTGCTGTGGGAAACTCCGCCGCCAGGTGCCTGCGAATTACATTCTCCTGGTATTATTTGTAAGTAAACCTTGTCAGCACCTGTTCTAGTTCACCTCTGAAATATATTTTTGTCCCATTATTAAGTTCATTCCTATAATTGTGGAAACTCTTCCTGTGGGATAATACAAGTAGAGATTATTTGTGAAATATTTTCTTAGTGGAATTCTGGTTGTAATGAAGTAGAAAACTTCTAAGATAGTATCACACCCTTTCAGTAGGTTAGAGAATTTGGGGATCTTTGTGGCTGCAAATGCCTCCTGTAAGGCCTCATGGAGGAAACTACCTCCAGCCTGGGCTGCATTTCAGGAACAGTTAATCTGAACAGTTAATCTGATTTCTCTCAGGCACAACAAAAGCATCTTGTTATGGAGAGTGGGTTCCATCTAGTTCACAAACTAGTATGTAAGAAATGCAAATTTCTTCAGTTTTGCAAAATGCATCTTCCTTCCTTCCTTCCTTCCTTCCTTCCTTCCTTCCTTCCTTCCTTCCTTCCTTCCTTCCTTCCTTCCTTCCTTCCTTCCTCTTTTTTTCTCTCTCTCTCTTCTTTTCTTTCCTTTCTTTCCTTTCTTGACAGAGTCTCACTTTCTTGCCGGGGCTAGAGTGCAGTGGTGTCAGCCTAGCTCATAGCAACCTCAAACTCCTAGGCTCAAGGGATCGTCCTGCCTCAGCCTCCTGAGTAGCTGGAACTACAGGCACACGCCACCGTGCCCAGCTAATTTTTTCTATTTTAGTTGTTTGGCTAATTTCTTTCTATTTATAGCAGAGACGTAGTCTTGCTCTTGCTCAGGCTGGTCTCGAACTCCTGAGCTCAAGCAATCCTCCCATCTTGGCCTCCCAGAGTGCTAGGATTACAGGCATGAGCCACTTTGCCCAGCCTGCAAAATGCATTTTATTTCTATTTCAAGTCTCACTGGGAGCAGAAACCGTCTTGAGTTCAGGTTTCCCTTATTTTCATAACTTGCATCTCAGTTCAGGAGGGATTTCCCTACACCAGAGAGTTGGGGGCTGGAGGGCCTCTAGTCCTTGGCACTCCTCATGTATCCATGGTCTGGTCCTGGTTCCGGGTTCCTGGTTCCCCAGTGTTTCACCACTTCTACCCATTTCCTGTCATCCACTGCCATTCCGCGCCACAGAAGACTGTGCAGCACCCTTTCTTGTAGCCAATTCCTTTTTGTGCTGCCCATGGGGACTCCCAATCTTGCCAGCTCTCAGCAGAAGCTCCCAGATTTTCTAAACCTGCACAGAATCTGAATTTCTATCCTTTTACCCCCACTCCCCAGGGCTCAGCCCCCCAGATGGAGGTCTTGGGGCTCCTCCTCAGGGACTCAGCGGCATCTAAGTCATTCCCCCATCCCTGATTCTCTTTCTCTCACTTAGAGTCAGGCCACACCTCTCACCTCCGGAGACCAGGGTCTCTGAAGCTCACCGGTAGTAGCTCCTAGGGTGTTTTGCTCCTCCTGGGAAAACCCAGAACCGTCCCAGTAGGATTTGGGATGGTGTCAGCTAATGATTCTTTTTTGGGGGGGGTTATGTTTCTTCCCAAGCAGTGTTGAGCATCTTTCCATGTGAAGATTTACTTACCAACTGATGTTTTCCTCCTCTGGTTCCAGATCAGATTTGTGGTAGCTTATAAAAATGTCCACAATAGAAGAAGATAAGATAGATTAATGGAGAAAGCTGATGGAAGGAAAACTAGGGTGGGTGAGTAAAGATGGTGGTAGATTAGTGCACGAAATGCATGAAGTCCGACACACTTGAGTCCTATACACCTGAGTCCTATACACTGAGTCCTATATACTTGATCCTAGATTTAGATGCTAGTGGTCACAGCAAGCACACACGCCGAGTGGTGAGATTCTCTGCGTCCACTCGAGGCAGGTCCGTGGATTATTTACTGGCTGTCCGATGCCCGCATTTGAGCATTCCCTCAACTGCAGGGACACTGAGGAGCCTTTCTCAGCTGGCGTGGATACCCTGCTTATTGCCCGGGCCAGCACCTGCACTGTCCCAGTTCCTGCGCTGACGCTGACGGAGCAGCAGGCCCCACTCAGGAGGGACAGGGGCTTCTGCCAGACACAGCGACGCCAGGAGTCCTGGAGCAGAGGCCGTGGGAGGGGCAGGGGCAGCAGAGGGGGTGCTACGTTCTCAGAAGTGTTTGCATTTCTTATTTTAAAATTTTAAATGCCTTTAATGTTTATTGCAAGAGGAGATAAAAGTTATGAATCTCCAAGGAAGGGAGCTCCCATCTCTGAGGTTTTGTTGTTTATCTCAAAGCAAGTAAAAGCTTAAGAGAAGATAAATTGGAGAGGGGCACAGAATTTGTTGTATTTTCTAGGCTTAATGTCATGCACAAGGGTTTGGAAACAAATGGGGAAAAAAAAATTTCAGAAAAGGAGTTGACAGACAAAAGGAAAACACCCACATTCACTAAAGACAGGTTTTGTCCCATAGAATTTTGGCTCCTTGCACCCATCCCCATCTTGTTCTGAGCTCTTGAAGTCATCAGACAGGTTTGACTTCTACGCCTCTTCCTGCTCACTCTCCAACTCTTCTGAAAACCAAAGTTGGTTTCCTGCTTGAAGTCACTCCTTCCCCCTCTCCTAGTCTCTGAATGACACATGCACACTCATACACCACTCATATCACAGTCACACATGCCACACACACGTACACACACACACCCCCCCACACACATACACACCAAGGTAAAAAGTACATTTGTAGATCCTATTGTCGTTCATCAATGGGGACCCTCCGCACAGCAACATTTTATCAGGATATGCCCTCTCTACTGAGGCTTCATCCACGGTTTGGGTGCTGACACTTCCTGTAGTGCCTGGGTGACAACCTTCAGCCCCAGAGTGCCAGGAGACGGGACTGAAGGGCAGGTACCATCCCAGGGCTGGGGAGGAGGAGGGGGAAAGCACCAGGGCTAGAGCACTCTCCTCACCCCTGGAGACTGGGATGGCGGAGGATGTGGGAGAGAGAGAGGCCTCGACAGCCAGCAGCCAGCCAGGCCAGGGGACCGGACCCAGACAGGCACTGAGGTTGTGCCCTGGCCCACAGTCTGGCCCCCCACCAGGGCCCTGTGACACCCGCCAGCCCGCAGCCTGCTCCGTCAGGGGAATCCAGATGCCTGGCAGAGACGCTGGCCCAGAGGGAGAGCCAAGAAAGAATCCTCCATTCTCAGGAAGTAGGAAAGGACAGCACTTCTTAACAGAAGGGCCAGGACAGTGACAGTTGCGGGGCCTTGAGCACCTGTTGCCCAAGGATGGCCCAGAGCAGAGGCTGGGAAGGGACTGGAGTCCAAGAGAATCTCGGATCACCCTTCTGGATTGTCCAAGCCCAGTGGGAGAATTGCTGGATTTTCTACTTTGTTAAATTCACCTAAGTGGGCTGTATTTGTCTCCATTACAGGGAAAAAGTGTGTTTATTCCATGTGCAAATGACATTTTAATGATGTGCTTGCATCCAACCCTTTCTCTCGAGGTTAATTTTCTCCTTTTCTGCTAGCTCATTGCTTCATGTTTCTCCAGCTCCAGCAGCACATGAAAGGAGTGTGTGTGTGTGTGTGTGGTGTGTGTGGTGTGTGTGGTGTGTGTGTGTGTGTGTGGTTTGTATGTGTGACTCTGTGGCATGTGTGTGACTGTGTTGTGTGTGTGGTTTGTATGGTGTGTGTGTGTGTGGTTTGTATGTGTGACTCTGTGGCATGTGTGCAACTGTGTTGTGTGTGTGGTTTGTATGGTGTGTGTGTGTGGTTTGTATGCGTGACTCTGGGGTGTGTGTGTGTGACTGTGTTGTGTGTGTGTGTGTGGTGTGCATGCGTGTGACTCTGTGTGTGTGTGGTATGTGTGTGTGTGGTTTGTATGTGTGACTCTGTGGCATGTGTGTGACTGTGTTGTGTGTGTGGTTTGTGTGGTGAGTGTGTGGTTTGTATGTGTGACTCCGGGGTGTGTGTGTGTGGCTGTGTTGTGTGTGTGTGTAGTGTGCATGCGTGTGACTCTGTGGTGTGTGTGTGTGACTGTGTTGTGTGTGTGTGTGGTTTGTGTGTGGGGTGTGTGTGTGTGTGGTTTGTATATGTGACTCCATGGGGTGTGTGTGTGACTGTGTTGTGTGTGTGTGGTGTGAATGTGTGACACTCCGTGGTGTGTGTGGTGTCTGTGTGTGACTCTGTGGGGTGTGTATGTTACTGTGGTGTGTGTGTGGTGTGACTCCATGTGGTGTGTGTGTGACTGTGTTGTGTGTGTGTGGTGTATGGGTGTGTGACTCCGTGGGGTGTGTGTGTGAGACTGTGTTGTGTGTGTGGTGTATGTATGTGACTCTGTGGGGTGTGTATGTGACTGTGTGGTGTGTGTGTGTGTGTGTGTGGTGTGTGTGTGTGACTCCGTGGTGTGTGTGTGTGTATGGTGTGTGGCTGTGGGGTGTGTATGTGACTGTGGTGTGTGTGTGGTGTGTGTGTGTGTGTGACTCCATGTGGTGTGTATGTGGTGTGTGTGACTCTGTGGGGTGTGCATGTGACTGTGTTGTGTGTGTGTGGTGTGTGTGGTTATGTGTGTTCTACTGTTCATGTCCCATAATCGCCCTGCGTAGCTGTGAGCACCAGCTTGTACCTACCCACCTGCCCCCTAGACCTTCTCACATGTGCAAACCCCAAACCTCCTGCTCCACATTCTGGGCCTCAGCCTCCCGCCTCAGGAAGCAGGCTTCTGATTTATTGTGAATTTTGTTTTTAGACAGTTCTTGAAGGCCTGATGCTAGGAGCCGTAGCAAGGTAAGTCTTTGATACATATTTCCTTTTATTTGTGTGCTCTTTTCTTTGAATGTATGTGAACGTTCAGTAATTACAATCTCTGGTTTTAGTTTCTATAAAGTCCATGAAGTATTGTGGGCAACAGCAGCAACCACTCTGGTGACAGTGGCTCTCACTTTATTTGCTCTACAAACAAAAGTACGTATGATTGAAACAGATTTCTGTCATGAGGGAGCATGCTAGATGTATCTCTTTGTCCCTTCCGACCCACTTCCACACTCCCACTAAGGCTCTTTTGCCTTAGGTTTTGTGTGGCCTTTGGCCAATGGGAAGTCCCAGTGGGAGCCTGGGGGGCAGAAGAGGTGTTTATTCCCATGGCATCTCCCCAACAAGTTCCCCTTGGGCTAGGCGTGTCCCTTACCAAAATCCATTGTGTCTCGAGGGGGCCAACTCAACACAGCCTTCTGGGCTGTTCCATTACAAACCACCGCACTTCAAATTGTCCTGTGTGTGCCATCTTTTCCCTGATGGGACCCTGACTCACAAAGGGACTTGAAAAATTAAAAAGTTGTACAGTTCACCAGGGCCACGATTTTCCAGAGAACACCATATCATTCAGGATTGTTCCTGTTTAACTGGGTGATGAGCCAGAGTCTCTCCAACCAAATCTCCTTGAGATTTGATGTCAAGGTGTATTTTCTGTGGTCCTTCCTTGTAGTTCTGGTCACTTTCCTTTAGTAAGTCATAGGTTTGCCTTAGTCAGTTTAATAACTTACACAGAAAGGAGTGTATTTTCCAAGTTGCTTGGCACACGTCATAAGGAAGGTCTTATACACGTGCAGAATTTTAGCCTTTTCCTGATGGAAAAAGGAAGACACATCAGAAAGATGGAAGGGTCTACTAGATATTTACCCAAATTGTATCAAAAGTTAGAGATTCAACTTTAATTCATTATCAGATCAGTTGTTGCTTTTTCAAAGCTGGTCATTTGTGGAAACCAGTCTATTTGTAACTAGGTAGCCCCCTTCCTGCAATGAGTGAGGTGGGCTGCTGCTAAATGCATAGATTCATTAAGTCACTTTAAATCTTCTAAAATGCCAGAATACTTTAAAAAAGCCTATTAGTATTTTAAGTAACAGATGATCTATAACTCAGGTTCAGGAGAGTGAATTTGGAATTGGAATTGGAATCGGAATTGGAAGCTATTTTAAAGGTTCTGGTATTTGCACTGATGACTTTGAGAGGCAGCTGAACACATGTTCAACTAGATAACATTTTTTCCCCTAAGTTATGTGGTGGGGGTTGCAAAATTCAGACCCACCACAACCCAAGGGCTGCAGTGGAAATGTAGGCACACAATGCATCTGAGTTTTCTCATGAACCCCAACCGTCCACTTAGCAGGGGGGAAATTAACTAAATGTCCATTTGGTTTAAATTTCATCTGATCTCATGGTTGAAATAGTTCCTTTGGGTTGGGTGACAGTCTTATGTGGCTATAATATGCTCGGCCCCTCAGCCTCCCTCTTTCCCTGCTTTTCTCTCTAAAGTGGACTCTGGGAATTTGGGACAAGGGTGTGGCTTGTGTGAGCTCTTGGCCCTGGCCAAGAAGGGGTTGGGGTGAGATGCTGTGGCCCATTCTTGTTCCCTAATGACTATCACCTGGACCCCCTGGGTCCCTGCGTGCTCTGTGGGCCTCTGAAGCCGAAAGTCCACCATTGGCATGACTCGGAGCCTGTCCTCTCTCGGGCCTGGGCAGAGCTGAGGAGGCTTCCCACCTAGACTGACCTCACCCCAGTCGTCCTTCCTCACTGTCACATCTCCTTTCTGCCTGCAAGGAGCTAGCCGTAGGGTTTCACTGTCACTAGCCAGATTTACTGCTTTCTGGACCTGTATTGTCCAAGAGAAATCTAATGTGAGCCACAAATGCAAGTCATGGATGTGATTTTGAATTTCCTAGTAATTACATTAGAAAAGTTAAAAAAAAAGAGGCAAAATTAATTTTAATAATGTATTTTATGTAATCTAATACATACGAACTGTTACCATTCCAACATGTAATTCATATAACCAAAATCATAATGAGATATTTTACATTTTTATGAACTAAAATTCGAAATCCAGTGGTGTGTTTCATACTTACTCCACGTCTTAGTTTGGATGAGCCACATTTCAAGTGCTCAGTATCCACATGTGGCCAGCAGCTACTGTATTGAAGGCGTAGCCCTAGACAAAGCTCATCATGCGTCAGAATTAGCTGGAGGGCTGTCATAACACAGATTTCTGAGCCCTACCCTTGTTGTATCAGTAGGTCTGGGGAAGGGTCAGGAAATTTGAATTTCTCTAGTGGTACTGATGTTGCTGAATGGAGAACCACACTTAGACAACTAGTACTTTAGAATTTTCCCTTGGTGTGTTAAGGGCAGGGGACAAGATGAGGATATAAGGGAATTAGGAAAATGCTCTTGCAAGAAAATATCTTTTGCTACATCATCCAATGTTTTTGTTTTTGTTTTTTAGGCCAGAAGATGAATATCTTCTTTCTTTAAAAAAAAAACAATAAAAAATCCTACTCACCTCAGGCTGATTTGTGTCACTAATTTACAAAAGCAAACACAAAAATCACATGAATAAATTTCAAAATTACAGAAGAATCATTAGTAGTTATTTTTGAAAGCTTAGTATACATTTTTATTATGATATATGCATATAAATGTAAAAAGGATACCCAGTTAACATCTGGGTATATTTCATTCTATTAATGTTTTCTGCACACATGCTTTAAAAAAATATGAGTAATTATGATCATACTATGCATACAAATATACATCCTACTTATTCAATGTATTGAATTGAAAAATTTCCCTTTTCATTAGGGAAAATTTCATATAAACACAAAAATAGTGTAAAGAACCCCCACGTGCCCATTACTCAGTTTCAAAAATTATCAACTAGTGGCTACTGTTTTTTCATCCATACTGCTACCTTTTTCTCCCTCCAGAAGCAAATCCCAGTCAGTTTGACGTTTTTTACGGAGCATTTTTTAGTGGTTGGGGCTAAAGGATTGCCACAGTTCTCTGAATGGGCCAGGGTAAACTATTATCAATAGGCCAGTGTCTGTGGGGTATAAGATGCATCTCTAAACATCCTGAAACTCCTCATAGATGATAATTGAGTTGTTTGTACACTGTTTATGTTTCCTCAGTGGGATTTTACCATGCTAAATGGAATGCTGTTCGTTTTGACCGTCGTACTTATAGTCTATGGAATTATCGTAATCGCCATACGAGCCTATGTAAGTGGGATCTCATTTGGAAACCTCAGAGAATTGTCAAAAACACAGGTGAAGGGCTGGTTGTGTTAGTCTGGGTCCTCTGAGAAGCAGACATGGAGTTGGGGTTAAGCGAGTAAGGGTTTTACCAGGAGAAATGTCTGTGAGAGACAAAGTGGGGGAGCCCAGGGAGGCTGGAGGGGGGTCAGACCAGGACTGCCCGTTTGGCCCTGGGAGGGGGGAAAAAGGAGGAGGAAGGTTGGGTGGGGGCGCCGTAGGTGTGGCGTGGTCCGAGGGAGGCCACACCTACCCTCGTGGTCCCCGCAAGGCCTCCAGGAAGCCCCTGAGCCAGCGTAGTCCACCATGAGGGTGGTGCCATGTCTCCCGGGGAGGGCCCTGCTGCTCACAGCCGGCCCCTGAGAAGTAGCAAACATGGCCTACGAGCAAAACGCAATGGGCTGCGCAGCCCAGCAGCTGGGCCCGTCCGTGGCCAGTGGCACTCCCCCACTCTAGCCGGGGATCTGTGAGGCCCGTCCCCGTGGCCACCCCGTGGGCAGAGGAGCTGGGGCGTGGATCCTGAGCTCCTCCCCTAGGCAGCTGTCCTGCCCCAAGAGGGTGCTGGGGGACCCACCCATGAGGCAGGCAGGCCAGACTCCTGCTGTGTGTGGTGCCGCGTGTTTGGAGTATTGTCATATACGGCAGGAGTGGGAGACTTAGGCCTGTGTGCCCTTTTCTGACAGCAGCTTAGAGGAGGCACCTTAATTTCTAATTCCAGCTTTTTACTTTTCGCTTTAATATATTCACTGATACTAGGTAATCGGGCATGGGCCTATGTGTTTTTCGCAAGGCATCACGTTTAATTCTCACAACATTCCTGAAGAGTACGTGTCTCACCTATTTTATAGATAAGCAAAGAGGCCAGGTGAAATGAAATAATTCCTCCGAGTCCCTTAGGGAGTGAGTGGCCGGGGGTGGCATCGAGGCTAGGTCTGTGTGACTCCGGCGGCGACACGCTTCCCGCCACATTGCACTGTGCGTGGCCTGATTCGGGAGGGCTGTGGAGAGTGACAGGCAGGATCTGGCCCTTGAGGTGGAGGTCCTGTTGGAGACTAGGTCCACTGAGGGCTGGCCTGGGGCCTGTGACCCTTTGGCTAAAACCCCAAGGCCAACGTGGTCTAAATGTTGAACCAGCCGGTTTCTTTGGCAACAAGTGGACCTGTTACATGATCTGCGGACATACATATACCCAACAGTTCCGGCTGGGTTGGTTCAGCTTTATGAATGACCACATAGGCTTATAGCCAGGGAGGTTATAGCTGTATTTTAGAGATAAACTCAAAGGCATCTCAGAGATGTGCCTTAAAAGACCACAGCTCTCCATTTTTTATTATTAATGGTAACAGAGATGTCAGTAATAATAATACAAATATCTATTATGTGGGTTCCAGAGGTCTTCACAGTATCATTTACGTGCAGTTAAGAAACTGTGTTTCCCCTCTTCGATGCCTATGTGGATGTGAAGCTACATTCCTGTGTGAGTCGTGCCAGTCACAGCGAGCTAGTCAGGCGTCGTTCTCGGGAATCCCGCAAGGACCGAACACCCCCACCCCGATTTAGACCTGCTGCCCGGAGACCTCCACCAAAGCCCATGTATGGAGTTGAGTCCTTGAGGACTGAAGAAAAACTATCTTTTGGAAAAAAATAAAATGGAAATTATACTTAAAAAAAAAAAAAGAAAACTGTTTCCTTTAAGATAGATAAAACTGTGTTCCCATTCTAAGTTTTCTTTCACAAATCTCTATAACTTTACACATATGTTTTGCATGGAAGACTTTGGCAGAGCTGTGTCCTAAGTCTACGTGCTCGTTTGACTTTGGCAACTTTGAATCCTCCAGTCTCCAGTGATCAGGTGTTTTCTTAGTACTAGCTCAGTCTGGAAATACTGTGTCTCCCAGATGTGTCACTGGTTTCTGGTCTCCCTTCTTCACCAAGAGCCTCTCCTTGGTGAGAGCTGGAGTGCTCCGCCCTCCCTCTCAGAACCAGCTCTCTCATCCTGAAGAGTCAATGCCGTTTTTTTCCTCAGGTGTTGCACACCACTTCCTTTTCCTCTTCCCAGAGAGAGCCAGACCCTTTGCAATTTAGACTAGTCCCACATTCTGATCAGGGCCGTTTTGGTTGCAAGGAACAGACACCATTCAGACTAGGCTGAGGCAAAGACCCAGAGAAACTCATGGAACTCCCAGGTAGAAAGAAGAGCTGGAATTCCCAGGAGTGGGAACCCTACCTTTCTCTCTGGGGCTGAGCTGACTGGCCACCTCTTACAGCAACAACAGCTCCAGTACTGCCTAATGAGAAAATAGCCTCTGCTGCTTGGATACCTCTATCCTGAGAATTGATTTCTGACTGGCCTGGTGCATCTATTTAAGCCTAGTGACATACCAGAAGTTCCCAGTCAAAAGACTCACTGTTTTGGGAGTGGGTTTCTTCTACCTCTCGCCAATCTGCTCCAGCTTGGATGCGTGAAGGTCACTATGTCCTCAAGGCTACCTGTTCCAAGAGTTCAGGGGTGAGAAGATTCTCTAGAATGGCTATGTGGACAGGGCAAAAATTGAAATATGTCTAATACATTTTACTTGCCCAACCACATATGAGATGTCTAGCACTTGATGAATATTATTTGACATTGGCAAGGTTAGTATTCATTTGCTTGTTTATTGGAATTGAGTGGATGCTCTTGATTGTGTTCAAGAAAAGATGAGTTCCCCAAAAGATCTGACTTTCTTAATATTGGTTCATATCTGCCAGTAGTGACCTAAGTGAGCCTTTTCATTACTCTAAATATCCTTCTTGATATACTGTTTTGCTTCTTCTCTTTGCAGTGGCTGCATGTATTGTATGCTGCAATCGGGACTGTGATCTTCTCACTTGTGAGTGCATTTCTCCCTCTCTTTGATAAAGAATGTGGTATGTGCATCGACAAGCCCTTGTGATAGGCCTGGAGTTACATGGGGTCAGGAATGCAGTAGAAGCCCCACAGCAACTTGCTCCCTCTTAAAGGATCGTATTTAAAACCATCACCCTCAGGAGAGCTGGATGGTTTTCCCCATCCACAAAAACATCCCCTTTCTCAGCCGGGCGTGGTGGCTCACACCTGTAATCCTAGCACTCTGGGAGGCCGAGGCGGGTGGATTGCTCGAGGTCAAGAGTTCGAAACCAGCCTGAGCAAGAGCGAGACCCCGTCTCTACTATAAATAGAAAGAAATTAATTGGCCAACTAAAAATATATAGAAAAAATTAGCCTGGCATGGTGGTGGATGGCTGTAGTCCCAGGTACTCGGGAGGCTGAGGCAGCAGGATTGCTTGAGCCCAGGAGTTTGAGGTTGCTGTGAGCTAGGCTGACGCCATGGCACTCACTCTAGCCTGGGCAACAAAGCGAGACTCTGTCTCAAAAAAAAAAAAAAAAAATCCCTTTTCTCGAAAGGGCCAATATTTAAGAAGAGAATGAAGAATTATTTATAAGCTTCGAAACTCATTGCAGCAGGGGTGTGGTTTCATCCACTGCCCCCCCCCAAGGACCAGTTTCTATTCTTTCACAATAGGAACAACCTCTCACAGGGGACTGTGCAGGCCACTGCTAATGCATCTAGGAGACTCTTTCCTTACATGAAGTCCCATCTCTTGCTGTCATATCTTTAAAATTATTTTAAGGCATGTTTTATTTAAAAGTAAAGTTCAAACAACACAGAAGATTATAAAATGAAAATAAAAATCTCCTTCTTATCCCCTGCCCCGAAAGTAATGACCGTTAACAGTTTCTTGGAATCGTCTCAGAATTTCTTTACACAGATGCACCATTGCTTCTTACACAGATGTAGTTATATTACGTAAAATGTTCTACTTTTGCTTTTTCACTTGAAAATAATGGCCTCCACATATTAGCAGACCTGGGTCTAACTAATTCTTTTAGAGGGATGCGTCGAATCCCATTTTATTGCTTTTATCATGTAACATCTTCCAGGTTTTATTTTTATTTTTTTAACTATTTATTTTGAAAATTTCCAAACACATCTGGAAGTATAGAGAGTGCTGTAAAGAACCCCATATATATATATATATATATATTTTGAGACAGAGTCTCACTTTATTGCCCAGGCTAGAGTGAGTGCCGTGGCGTCAGCCTAGCTCACAGCAACCTCAAACTCCTGGCTCAAGCAATCCTGCTGCCTCAGCCTCCCGAGTAGCTGGGACTACAGGCATTCGCCACCATGCCCGGCTAATTTTTTGTATATATATATATTAGTTGGCCAATTAATTTCTTTCTATTTATAGTAGAGACGGGGTCTCGCTCTTGCTCAGGCTGGTTTTGAACTCCTGACCTCGAGCAATCCGCCCGCCTCGGCCACCCAGAGAGCTAGGATTATAGGCGTGAGCCACCGCGCCTGGCCAAGAGCCCCATATATTATCACCGTGCCTAAAAACTATCCACATTTTGCTTCCTTTCCATTGTTGTTGGAATCATTTCATATTTTTTAAATGTTAGGAAAATTCACACCAGGAGTTAAAAGCTAGGTATGCACATTTCAGTTTTTCTCATTTCTTCTCCTGTTATAAAAGGAACTGATCTGTGATCCTTCACCTTCATTCCTATGCTCTCAGACTTTGTGTCCTGAAGCTCACAGTTGTAGCTCTCTGGCCTGTTTCAGGCAAAGTTTGTTTCCATACAAAGTATGCTGGTGTTTCTGCTCCCCATTCTGTTTTGCAGACAGAGCAAAAACTCTTGTAGACTCAGGCAGGTCTACCTGATACAAACAAACAGCTGAGGAGGAATTTAGATTTGGGGGCGTGGGTTTGTGTGTGTGCGTGGATGCCGAACCGGCAGAGCTGCGGGAGTGTGAGGCACGTGCCACCCTCCCAAATGCTCCCATGGGCCGAGTCCCAGCTGGGGCTTCCCTGTGGGCTGGTTGTGTCTTGGGTGGTATCTGAGCCTGGTTCCTTTTGGGTCCCAGCTCTTCTCCCTCCCACTTTTCTGTCTGCCCTCAAACACATCACCTCTCCTGAGACGCTACACTCCTAACCAGCCCATTCATGTCTGCGAAATGACTGAGAGTCATTGTCCCCTCTTATAGGAAGAAGTTAAAGTCAGAGATTTTTGGAGGGGAAGAAGAGGGAAAAGCACTTCTCCATAGGCATTATGACTCCCAGGTGACAGATGGAGGCTAAGAAAGCTTGGGTGCTCAGCCACTGGGGGCCACTTTTTTAGGGTGACCAACTGTCCCCATTTCCCTGGGACTCAAGGGTTTCTTGGGACACCTATAAGTCCTGGACAAATCGGAATGGTTGATCACGCTAGCTTTTATTTCTTCCAGTGGTGCTGGAATGAGATATAGGGAGAAGAGGCCGGGTGCAGTGGCTCACACCTGTAATCCCAGCACTCTGGGAGGCCGAGGCAGGAGGAGGATTGCTTGAACTCAGGAGTTCAAGACCAGCCTGAGCAAGAGTGAGACCCCATCTCTACAAAAAATAGAAAAAATTAGCTGGGCATGGTGGCGCATGCCTGTAGTCCCAGCTACTTGGGAGGCTGAGGCAGGAGGATTGCTTGAGCCCAGGAGTTTGAGGTTGCTGTGAGCTAGGCTGACGCCACAGCACTGGTCCAGGCAACAGAGTGACACTCTGACTCAAAAAAAAAAAAAACAAAAAACAAAGAGACAAAGGAGAAGGGGGTTGAAGGGACTCAGTAGTTAAGGTGAGCCACACACTTTGGCATCCCCAGGCTCAAATCTAGTTCCTGTCTTTGCCATTCAAGGCTCAGTTAACCTCTTGTGGTGTTCCTGTTTCACTACGTGGAAAATATGTCATGACGTAAGGCGGCCCGGGATGTGCCCAATAAATCTTGTCCTGTTCCTTCCTTCCCTTCCTCTTCTTTCATACGAGCCCAAGCAGAAACAGGAGCCAGGGAGAGCAAATATCTGAATTCCTTGGTAGGTTTCACTGAAGCAGACATCATTCTACAATAGATTATTTTAAAGCATCTCTCTCTAATGGGGCATTGATCCATCTGGCAGCCTCTGCCTCACAGCACTGGGCTCTCCGTCTCGAATCTGGACAAAGGGACTGAGCTTGTTGATTGCTTTTCCTCGAATGCCTCACGCTGTCTGGGTCTGTCTCTTTGCAACAAGCACCAGGATGAGAGCGGGCTCTCTGATTTTTTTATCTTGCTGTCTAGGAGCTCATAATTTTACCTATATTGCAGCTGAGCTAAAACATTTATTTTCGGGGTTACCCATAAACAGATCCTCTCTCTTCCTCATCCTATTTTGGGTAGACTGACATCATCACAAAGCCATCCTTAAATGGCAAGGTTTGCTATTGGCCAAAGCTCCGAGAATTCAGAATTATTACTCTGTGGGAACCATCTTTGTTTTCGTTCTTTGTTCAGCAAGAACATGGGGGGAGGAATCACAAACATAGGGCATTTTGTAGCTTTGTCCACCTGGTCCACATTATTGACTAAAGGTACAAAGGTTTTTGGATTTGGAAAGCAAAAGATGTCTTCTCGATTTGTTCCAACAGGCTTCGGGAGGATGAGGCACTTGCTTTATAGAGTATATCCTTGGGGACACAGTGAATGCTTGAGGCTGTAAGGAGAACACGATCAGCCACGAACTGACTTCCTGCAATATTTTTCTTGATGATAAAATAATTTTTTTCCAGATCATTTAGGACACTTACTTGATGGAAATGTACAATTTACATAGCTAATTTTTCCTTCCTTTTCTTCAAGTACCTGGTGATGGACGTGCAGCTCATGATGGGAGGGCGCCATCGATACTCCCTGGACCCTGAAGAGTATGTTTTTGCTGCCCTGAACATCTACCTGGACATCATCAACCTCTTCCTCTTTATTTTGCAACTGACGGCAAATCGGTAATCACACAGCCACGGGCAGCTCGCGGTGAGAAGAGGAAGGAGGGACGACACCTGTGAAGTATTGCCAGGCTTAGACATGCAGAGGTTACCATTCAGAAGCCCTTTTATTTAAAAATAATTTAAGAATACTTTTTTTTTGGGGGGGGGGAAATCAAATGAAACCAAGTGTGCAGTAGATGGTAGCTGTAGCTGTTACATTTTTAATTCTATCGCCACATAGCAAAACTTTCTGAGGGACGTTTTTGGTTTCTATAAATTCAAAAGATGAGTGTCATAATTACATACTTACAAACACTTGTGAGATGTCCATCACTTTGTTGAAGTTTTCCAGACACTATTTAAAGCTGTAAACAACATCTTTCCACATGAATAAAACTGATTACAGAAACCTATATTTAATTCTTTCTCTTCTCTTGCTTTATAGACTTTTTTGTGGGAGTATTTTTGGTATCTGATTTTTTAAAAGAATAAAATAAACCAAAGAATTTTGTCTTTCTTCTGGATTCTAGGGTCAGACTGGAGAAAATAATAGTATCTACCTAGTAGGTTTAGAGAGGATTAACCAAGTAATTGCAGATGAAAAGCTCAGGACAGAGTGTTAGCTGCTGTTGTGACAGTCTCATGTATACTTCTGGGCCTACCCTGGAAAACACCTCCTCTGCTTGTGTGGGACAACTGGCCTTCTTTTTTTTTTTTTTTTTTTTTTTTTTTCAACTGGCCTTCTTTGAAACGCTATAATATTCTTAATTTAATTTTTATTTTCAATTGTGATAAAATGTACATAGCATAAAATTTATCATCTTAGCCATTTTTAAGTATACAGTAGTGTTAAGTGTAATTAATCCCCAGAACTTCTTTGCAAAACTGAAGCTCTATACCCATTAAACAACAAAAAGTCCCATAATATTTTGAATCGACTTATTCATTTATACATATCTTATACAACCAGTCTGATTATATTCCTGAAGGTCACAGGCTGTACAGATCTTTTTTTTTTTGAGACAGAGTCTCACTGTTGCCCCGGCTAGAGTGCTGTGGCGTCAGCGTAGCTCACAGCAACCTCAAACTCCTGGGCTCAAGCGATCCTTCTGCCTCAGTCTTCTGAGTAGCTGGGACTATAAGCACATGCCGCCATGCCTGGCTAATTTTTTCTATATATTTTTAGTTGGCCAATTAATTTCTTTCTATTTTTAGTAGAGATGGGGCCTCGCTCTTGCTCAGGCTGCTTTCGAACTCCTGACCTTGAGCGATCCACCCGCCTCAGCCTCCTAGAGTGCTAGGATTACAGGTGTGAGCCACCACGCCCGGCCCATGTACAGATCTATATATCCCTTTTGGAGTCTCATACCTTGCTGGTGTGATCCTTGGTAAGAAAAAGTTTTACTCAGATGTAGTTCACACTTTCAAATCCATCCAAAATGAAACTGTGTCGACATCCCTCCATCTCTTATTATTTTGTCACTGTACATATTTTGACACATTATACATTGTATTTTTGACACATTACATTTGTCAAATGTAATGTCACAACATTACATTTATATAAACAATGTTATATAAATGGAATAACATAGTATGTGGCATTTTTGAGATTGGCATTCACTAATGCCAATTTGAGATTTTCTATTCAGCATAATGCCCTTTAGAGCCATGCAAGTAGTATATATTAACTGTTCCTTTTTATTGCTGAGTAGTATTCCACTGCAAAGATGTACCACAGTTAACAATTCATCTACTATAGGAGATTTTGGTGGATTTGTTTTTAGCTATTATAAATAGTTGCTATGAACAAACATTTTGTGTGGACATAAATTTCCATTTCTCTGTGATAAATGCCCAGGAATGCAAGCGCTGGGTCATATGATTAGTATATGCTAAGTTTTTGCCTTTTTTTTGAGACACAGTCTTGCTCTGTTCCATGGGTTACAGTGCAGTGGTGTCAGCACAGCTCACTACAACCTCAACTCCTGGGCTCAAGTGATCCTCCTGCCTCAGACTCCCAAGTAGCTGGGACTATAGGCACACACCACCATGCCTGTCTAATTTTTTCTATTTTTAGTAGAGACAGGGCCTCACACTTATTCAGGCTGGTCTCAAACTCTTGAGCTCAAGGGATCCTCTCACCTCGGCCTCCCTGAGTGTTAGGATTAGAGGCGCGAGCCACTGTGCCGGCCTGCGTAGTTTTTAAAGAAACCACCAAATTATTTTCTAGGGTGGCCGTACCATTTTATATCGTACTTGGTGGCTACAACAGGCAGGTCGTAGCTTTGTACAGGGAAAAGACTGACTGCCATTAAGTCTTCAAAGCAGTGATTGCTTTCTCTTCCTGGGATTCTATATTATTTCTGCTGGACTACTTGGGGTCAGAGACAGGTTGGGGAGTGGTTTACCTGCCCCATTATCACTTCTGTACACATGGCAGCCCTTGAAAGGGAGAATCCCACTGACGATTATGAGACAGTTAATTGTGGGCACATTACACATCCATCCCATTATACACTGAGATTTGGAAGCCACACATTACATTTGATAGCCCAAAGGAGCCCACTCACAACACCCTTTTGGTTCGCTTCCCCACCATGGAGCACATCCAAACGCCTTTTCCACTCCAGGAGCACAGACCACAGACTGAGGAATTGAGGATATGTGCCCAACTCAGCAGCTACAAGTGGCAGGAGCAACATGTGGCAAATGAGGGCCAGATCACACTGTCCCACAACCAGGAGAATAGGGAGTCCTGGGTAGGAGAAGAGGCTAGCTGTGGGGAAGAAAGTTAATCATTAGCCTTTTTCTCTGTTAGCCTCTTGCTCCAGGATCAGAGCCTGAACACTGGCAACTACTTCTCCTGTGGCATTGGTGATGTCTCTCAGCATCCAGAGAGAACCAGGGCCCAGGGGCTTCTTTCTTCTCCCATGCGCAAGGCCACATTTTACCCTGAGGTCTTTGGCACCTTCTGTCACTCCTGCACCCAGCACCTTGTCCTCTGCGCCAGCTAAGCTGACTGCAGCAAGGGCCAGGGCCGTGAGAGCAGCCTGCTCTACACTTTCAGGCAAGGCTTTGCATTCACTTTTACATTGTTGCGACTGCTTTCCTGACGTTTTCAGCCCACCCACAGCTCTCAATCAAAGAGCAAATTTCTTATTGCTAATAATACCATTTATTTTATGTCTGAGGATTCCTGGACTCAGTAGTCACAGCCGCACTGCCTTTTAGCTGGGACCTCAGGAACTGCTAAACCTTTGTATGAAAATATCCCTTCCTATGCCTGCCTGCAGGAGTAGCAATCTAGGCGCCGTTTGGACAGCCCATCTAAATCCTAGCTCTTGTCCTAAGGCTTTAAACATCAGCTTAACTCCAGTTTGTTCACAGGACAATGGAAAATTTGTCTCACCCTATACCCATCACGTGGGTGAGAGCATCTGTTACCAGATCCCAGGAAGTCTTAAATTCTGAAACCTGGCCCATGGTTCCTTTTCCAGAAAATCATACTTTTATCAGTATCCTATTCTCATTGCCAAAACTGTTGGGTCTAGGATTTCATTTTACCCTACTTATGGTAAATTTGCCTGTCATGGTCTCATGAGTGCTGACAGAAGACACGAGACTCCTGGGTCAGAGGCAAAAAGACTATCGCTCATGGCACAGTGTACAGAGTGAGCATCAGCGTATCACCGTCAGTTCTCGTCTCCAGTTCCACAGGGGCAATGCGATGGGCCTGGATGGATACCAAACACACAGTGGGTTTGTGTTGCAACTTGGTTGAATACTGAGTGTGAGGGAAGCCATCACTTTTTTTTTTTTGAGTCAGAGTCTCACTCTGTTGCCCCGGCTAGAGTGCTGTGGCGTCAAGCCTAGCTCACAGCAACCTCAAACTCCTGGGCTCAAGCAATCCTTCTGCCTCAGCCTTCTGAGTTAGCTGGGACTATAGGCACACGCCACCATGCCTGGCTAATTTTTTCTATATATATTTTTTAGTTGGCCAATTAATTTCTATTTTTAGTAGAGACGGGCGTCTCGCTCTTACTCAGGCTGGTTTCGAACTGCTGACCTTGAGTGATCCACCCGCCTCAGCCTTCCAGAGTGCTAGGATTACAGGCACCACTTTTTTTTTTGAGACAGTCTTGCTCTGTCACCCAGGCTAGAGTGCAGTGGCATCATCATAGCTCACTGCGACCTTGGCTAATTTTTCTAGTAGAGACGAGGTCTTACTCTTGCATAGGCTAGTCTTGAACTCCTGACCTTGATACCCTCCCAACTCGGCCTCCCAGAGTGCTAGAATTACAGGTATGAGCCACCACGCCCGCCTGAAATCCACTTTTATAGCAAGCAGGTAAGCCTGTTTCTTGTCCTCAAGGTTACTATTTATTAAATATGTAAATCCTGAGCAACAGCTCGGGCAAAATTGTCAGCATGGATTTGCATTCTTGGCACCCCCAGTAAGATGTGTAGGCACTCAACAGGCCTAAGAGGATTGACTGTCTCTTCCAACAATTATCCTTTTTGTGCTTTGGGTTCATTTGCTCTTTTATATATTTCTCTCTCAATCTGTCTATAAACTGAGGCCTCATGGAGGCTAGGCCCTTGTGCAATAAATATTTAATAAGACAGCTACCTAAGAGATGCCAGCCTAATCAAGAATATCAACAAGTTGCAGTTTCAAAAACTGACTAAGAATAATTCCTTCAAAAGTTTGGCCACCAGTTTGTCAGCTACCTGTCAGTCCTAAGTGAAACTGAGAGATAAAGAAAACTTTTCTGGTCCATCTTCCTTTTCTCTCTTTTTGTTTTTTTTAAGAGATGGGGGGATCTTACTTTGTCGCCTAGGCTGGAGTGCAGTAGCCTAATCATAGCTCACTGCAACCTCGAACTCCGGGGCTCAAGTGATCTTCCTGCCTCAGTCTCCCGAGTAGCTAGGACTACAGGCGTGCACCACCATGCCTGGCTCTCTCTCTCTCTCTCTCTATATATATATATATGTATATTTAATTTTTTTGTAGAGACTATGTTGCCCAGGCTGGTCTCAAACTCCTGGGCTCAAGCAATTTTTGCAAAGTGCTGGGATTTCAGGCATGAGCCACTGCACCCAGCCCGGTCTATCTTTCTTTAAGGACTACTACCAGTTCCTAAAACAAGGACTGTTACATAAGACAGTCTAGAAAGATATACTTCTATCTTTCTAGAAAGAAATCTACTACTCTTGTGAGGTTACAACAACTGACAAGGCAATAATACAAGGTGACTAAGAAGACCCAGTATATGCCTATAGCACAATGCTCAGATGGAACCATGACTCAGCCCCAGAGTAGAGCACATGAAAAATTTTTTCCTATGGAGTTATTTCAGCCTTTAAAACACCCCCAAAATTTGTATTGTCATTTAATTATTTAGATTGTAA